GAAACACCCTGGAGAACTACTAGCAAAAGCCTTCATTCTGATGAGAGAAACTTCAAAGGCCACAAATAAGGAAAGAGATGTCCCTTGAAAGTGTTGAAATAACAAATAGAAATATTTCTGCTGACAAAAGATGAAGATGAAACAAATGTTAGAAGAGAAAACATGATTTTATTTTGCCATGCTCTCACTGGAAGCTATCATCAAAGTCCTTAACTGAAATGAAAAAGGTATCAATATAATAGCACACTGAAGCTAACTTAGATTTCTAACAACAAAAGTCATCTTTGAAATAACAAAAGCTTACAAAGCAGTGAAAAGATATCAATGCAGAAAGTAAAGCATATGGCCCAAAATAGTCTTATGCTGCACATTTGTTAGAGAACGTCAGAGCTGGAAGCCACTTAGGGATGATCTGGGCAAACCCTTTCATGTTTCAAAGGAGGAGAATTTGAGCCTGGAGAACTTTGGCTAACTTGCTCAAGGTCATATAATTAGTTAGTAACTTTGGAATTATTGGCAACTGCCTTCTCTACTTCCATACAGCTAGACTCTAAAGTCCTCTATCTGCAAATCCATCTTGCCCAGTAACCAAGGCAGCCCTGGTCAAGGCTAAATTCAAGATCACCTGATGTTGGGTCCTAGTATTTGTCTTTTTGCCTTTGATCCATGCTGTGTTCATTGAGCCATAGACCTACTGGAGCCACCTCATTACTGCTCCCACTACTGTGCAGACCGATGCCTCTGCAGTTACGTCTGTCTGACATGACAACAGGGACAGAAACAGACTCTAAATTGCAGAAACATAATGGCCAAAAAGAATGGAGGCTGGTGAAGACCTAGTGCACTGGCAGTCTTCCTGTTCTTCAATAAGCATCTTCCACCATCAGGAATTTGCACATACTATTCCTTCTTTCTAGAACATTCTTTCCTATTAACACACTCTTATTCAAAACCTAGGATATCTTAAATGATACTTCCTCAAAGACGTCTTCTCCCATTGCGGGTCTAAGTAAGTCCTCCAGATTATTCCCTCAGTATTCTTTACTCCTTTCCACACAATTAGGACAGTTTATATTACATAGTTGTGCATTCTTTTTGTCATTTGAATCTTCACCCTCATAATCAGGAATAACACAAGCAGAGATTCCACAAGCAGCAATCTTCTAGTACACAACAGGAGGGAAAGAACATGTTCTTGCTTTCTTTTTCTCTAAATATGCTCTTGAGTGTAATGAAGGGAAAATGGAAATATTCCAATAAAAATGAGAAGGATGGGAGGGAATTGGATGATATGTAGCAGGTTTGTTTTGATTCTGGAACCCATACTGAATGTTGCAGAACATTTAGATAGAGGAACTTGTAGCACAGCACACATAAAACAGAATAGCAGGGTTCTGAAATCCGAATTCCCAGACAGGCTTAGGAATCAGCAAGTACTGAGGAAGGGAAGAAACTGGGAAGGAGATGGAACTCCAGTGGCTCCAATTAGCTCCTTCATGTCCATCTTCCTGTTGGCAGAGTGACTGGCAATCCAGAATTGTTCCCTATGGAAAAATGCAATAAAATTGTGAACTTTTTTTTCTAAAGAAAAATTTTAAATATGGTATGAAAGAAAAGGAGCTTTTATTATGGATGCTAGAACCAGCAGTAGAACTCATCTCATTTTGAAATCTGAGGGTTGAAGCAAGAAGAATAAGAACTGGAGCCAGCAAAAGGGAAAAGGAGAAACCAAGTGCACCTGTAATCCTAGCTACTCAGGAGGCAGAAATCAGGGGGATCGTGGTACAAAGCCAGCCTGGGGCAATAGTTTGTGAGATTGAGTTGCTCAAGGTGTTGGACATCAGTTCAAACCCAAGAACTGAAAAGAGAAAAAGAAAGGTGGGGCAAAGGGTTCAGGAATGTCAGGCTTCTTGGGAATGAAAGTCAAGAAATCTGTGAAAAGCAGGTATGTCAATTAGTCACATTTTCTGAGATAGATCTACTGAGGAAACAGTCTTACTCACACAATAGTAGAGATGACATACTCCACCTATCTACTGCAATAATTAAAATTATCAATTCCAGATAATGACTAGGCAATCAAAAAATTTACAAGGCACTTTGAAGAACAGCAGGAGATTGCTAACACTCAGAAGAGGAATTAACTCTGGAAGAAGCATTTCAGATAAGAACATTAAAAATACCAATTGTACAAAATTATTCCAGAATATTAAAAAGAGAAACATGTTCCTCAACTCATTCTACAAGCCCAAAGTTATCTTGTAACCAAAACTGGAAAAAAATTACAAAAATAAAAAAGGAAACAGAAACCAATGAACCTCATGAACATCGATTTAAAAATCTAAAAGTAGTTTAACAAATTGAATCAGATGCTATAAAGATGGAAAATACATCATGACCAAGTGAAGTTTATTCCAGTAATGCAAGGTTATTTTAACACTCCAAACTTATTCACAATAATAACAATCCAAAACCAAAACCATATGATCATCTCAAAGACACAGAAAGGACATCTGACAAAATCCAACACATATTCCTAATTTAAAAACTCTCAGAAAACTAGGAATAGAAGGCAATTTCTTTAACCTGGTGAAAGATATCTATGAAAAGTCTACAGCTAACATCACATTTAATGATGAGAGATTATTTTCTCCTAAAATCAGGAACGAGATGAGTGTATCTAAGTATTAATCAATCCAATAAGGCAAGAAAAAGATACAGAAGCATCCAGATGGAAAAATAAGAAGAAAATTTCCCTTTGTTAGCAATCTACAAAAAGCTAACAGAACTGACTGATTTTAAGAAGTATTCAGAAAATAAGATTGGGATATAAAAAACAATTATATTGCTACATAACAGCAAGAAACAATCAGAAAATAAAATTAAAAGCAATACTCTTTGCTATCACATAAAAGCAGGAGATAATATGAAATAAATCTGACAAAAGTAGTACAAGGAGTGAAAACTACAAAATGATGCTGAGATAAATTAGAGAGGATTTTAAAATAGAGATATATGCTTTATTCATGGATTGGAAGATTATACATTGCTATGACACCTATTCTCTCCAAATTAATGTTTACAGAGTACAATCTTAACCAAAATCTGAGCACTCTTTTGTATAAGCAGACAAATTCTGAGATTCATGGGGGAAATGCAAAGAACTGAAAATTGCCAAAACAAATTTGAAAATATGAGATATAATGTTGTAAGACTCCTGTTTTCAAAAGCTATTATTAAGCTACAATAACCAATATAGTGTGGTATTGACATCAAAATACATAAGCAAGCCAATGAAATCGACAGAGTCCAAACATAGAAACACATGCATGCTTAGGGAATTGATTGAACTGAAACAAAGATGAAAAGGCAGTCCAGTCTTTTCAACATGCACAAAAGCATGAATTCAAAATGGATCATAGGTCTAAATATAAAATTGGTTTTTTCTAAAAAAAACCACACGACATGATTCTTGTATCCTTGAGTTAAGCAATGAATCTTAAGATATGACAACCTAAACATTATGCATAAATTAAAAATTAATAAATTGGACTTCATCAAAATTAAAAATCCTGATTTTGGAGAGGTTTGTTTGTGGTACTTGTGAATGAACCCAGGGTCTTACACAGAAACCCTAATTGTAAAGACATTGTTATTAAACAGAAACCCCAAGACATGAGTTGTGACAAAAAAATTTTATATACATATATCCAATAAAGAATTTGATATCCATAACACAAGAGTTCTCAAAATACAGTAAGAAACCAAATAAAACAAAACAAAAAGCTATAAAATATGCATGAGGAATTTAAAGACATTTCACCAAAGAACTTATGGACAGCAGATAACCACATGAAAAAATGCTGGACACAATGTCATTAGGGAAATACAAACTAAAGCCATGATGAAATATCACCACATATTTAAAATAACATCACTGATTATTCCAAGTTTTGATGAGGATATAGAGTATCTGAAACTCCCATATGTTTTATTGGGAATGTCAAATGATACAACCACTTGGGAAAGAAATCTGAGAGTTTCTTAAAAAGTTAAGTATACACCTTCCATATGTCCTAAACATTCCACTCTTATATAGCCACATAAAAGAAATGAAAGAGTAAGTCCATACAGATGTGTACATGAACATTCATAATAATTTTATTTGCGATAACCTAAATATCTATCAAAATGTAAACAGATAAACAAATTGTGGTATATTTATACAGCAACATGTTACTTAACAACCAAAGGAACTATTAATGCATAAAATGTGGAAAATTTATATAAAAGTCTAGAAAGCACAAATGAATCTATGCTGATGGAAAGGAGATAAGTGGCTGCCTGAGAGGCTAGGGTAAGTGTGGGACAGAATAAGGAGGGGAAGAAAGAAGACTTTTTAAAAGTTCAAGGTGAAACTTCAGGGTATGTTTATATCAAATTGTAATGTTAAATATGTAAACTTTATGATAATTATACCTCAACAAATATATATTTTTAAATAGAGGTAGAAATAGATAAAAATTCACAGATGTACACTTTCCAGGCCTGTGGATTGACTTTTGGCCAAAACCTGCTTTGAAAAGCATAGTTCCTGAAATGAAGGTGCCCTGAGAACACATTGTAGCTTGGTGAAATTTAAGTAAGAACTATAATATCAATGGTTTGTGTAACTGTGAATCAAAGGTTCAGGAGTAACCAGTGTTTAGTCCAACTTATAAATAGATAATTAGGCAGGCAGCAGTTAGTAACAGCATAAATGGAAACCCACAACTTTTTGGAGACCAATTTGGAAATCTCAAAAGGTTTAGAAATTGTATCTTCACAGTAGCATTTTTAGTATTATTTCTTCAAAAATTAACTAAAGATGTCTGCAAATATTGAGGAAGTTCCTAATAGAAGTACATAGTAAATAATACAAATTGTTTATAAAATATAAACAAATTGTATAGTTTCATTCAGTTATTTAAAAGAAATACAGCCATACAGACTATGCACATAAAACTGATGATACAGAAAGACACTCATCTTGAGCAAGGATTATAGTAACGATGGAAAAAAAGGCATAGAAGTTATGATTAACTGGGCTAAAATGCTTATAAATTTAAGTTTGCACACGTAAATTTAGGAATGATCACTATCACTATTAACAGTGATTGCTGGGTTGCAGAATTGCAGATGACTTAAATTTTCTGTGTATTTTTTTATAATTTCTAAATTGTTGCTATGATACAAATTTTTTAGTCAGAAAATATATAGAGGGCCTGTTTCTTAAGTCAAGGATGTGTGTGATCCATGTCTGGGCATACACGCTTAATCAGAGGTATTAGGCTGTCAAGAATTGTTTGGTGTGAAGGTTCTTTGGAGTTTTGCATGTTTCAGAGGCTAGAGAAAGGAAGATAGTGACATGACACATTTCAGAGTTTTGTATCCCACTTCAGTCCTGAAGCTCACTACTGAGCTTCAGTCTAAGGTTTGTGAGGAAAAGTTCTGAAGGGAATGTTTTCATAAGAAACTGTGAGACATGGGACATATATACCAAGTGTGATACTGATGGAGGGAGGCACACATTAAAGCTGTGTGTGAGACTCTGAGTGGCAACAGTATTTATTGTGTAGCGTTCACCCCTGGCTTTATGTGCAGTGAGTCTGGTGTCCCCTGGTGAGTCTGGCAGTTATGGTGAACAGAGCTCGGAGATCACTACAGGATGGAAGAGCACATCAAGGAGTAGGTGATGAATCAATGAAATGTTCCCAATGGACACAGCTTTAAGTCAGGGGGAAGACAATGAGATGTACTCTAAACATGCTAAAACAAGCTTGGACTTCTCACCCCCTAACTCTACACATTCGAAGCCTCAATTGTACTCCATTGCACTGGAACCTTCATTAAAGACATTCAAAAACTACTCACATGTATACACTTTATTTTGGCATTCAAGCCACCATACCAATTTGGCCACATAAAATTAAGGCAAGTGGCAGAAGAAAAGGAGGGCATGTACAGAAATCATGCCTCTTTATGGAGATGCAAACCTGCCACAGAACAAGATGCTGTTGGTCTTGGGGTGCCAGATGAAGAAAAGGAAAGGGTGATCAGCACAAAACCTTGGTTCTACTCTGCAGCTCCTGGTATTCCTGACCACTGCGGTGGCTGCAGCTGCCTCTGTGCCTTCCTCGTTGACCTCCACAAAGCACTTGTGGGCAACTTTGGACACAGGCACATTCTTCTTAGTTGACATTCCAGAGAAGTCAGCCTTGGATTCCTCAAAAGCATCAATCATTCCTAAATTTCGGAGAAAAGACTCCAAGTCATAATTCTCTTCCAGCTTTAACCTGGGGAGGAAAACTTGAGCTTTGCTTTTTGTCATGGTTTTCGGATTCGTCCAGGCTCTGAACTTCTCATATGTAAGTGCTTCTTCCACCTGGAATGACAAAGGATCAAATGTTAAAATCTAGAAGAGAACTGGTGCTCACTGCCCACTTATGACCCCTCTCCATAACATGGAACTAGATGTTGAGTTCTTATCCAAGACAATCACAGATTTTTTCCTTTTATAAACCCATAAAAATTTCCCCCAATTTCTCTTCTTTTCCCTGTCTTATCAAAACAAGATTAAAAGATCTAGAAAATACCTGAAACCAGGAGAATGTTTTGATAAACATGTGCCGAACTCATTTCAAATACAAAAGTCATTTTTGACATTTTAATTTTGAATTTTAATATATTGTAACCAGTTGATTATATTACTATTCATGCTGTACATATTATTGTGAGTGGAGATTGTTTGGAGGAAGACAAAGAGCATGATAGAGCTCTGATTCTTAGACTGACTGCTCAGGATTGCATCAGTGGCAATTTTTTCAGGGGAAACAAAGCAGAAATCAAGTATCATCTAAACATGAAGGAAGGCATGGCTTCTGGGAGGAGAGAGCAGAAATGGGGATCAACAAGGCTGTTGTTTCTGACGTCCTTGTTTGTCCCCTGCCTTCCTGGAATAGCTTCAAATCCTTTAAGTCTCCATTCTATTTATCCATAAGGAAGAAAGAAGAGAAGGAGAGGGGGTCTTCCACTTGCTTCTTCCCTTCCCTTCATCAATTGATGCCCAGGTGACTACTCCCTTCTTAGGTGGCCATGACAAACTTTGTGAAGCAGTCCTACCCTCACTATCCTGCACATTGTATGCTAGAGCTGGCTCCTATCAACTCTTAAATACTTGGTGGCCTAAAGTAGGCCATGGGAAAAGTATTTACACCATAGGAATCAGAAGAGTTGAAAAATGAGGACTCCCTCCTCCTCTCACAGAGCTGGTTTACCAGCACACTGTTGGTTCTATACCTCCCACCTTACAAATTTCTTTCATCTTTCTTGGACTTTGTGCTTCTTCTGTTATGAAAAGACTTCTCTCTCCTCCTGTCAAAGGTAAATCCCCCACCTGTATATTAAATCTTTGCTATTCAAAGGTCCATAAACCAGCAGCACCTTCTTCACCTAAAATCTTATTGGAAATGCAAAATCTTAAGCCATACTGGACTGAATAAAAATGTGCATTTTAACGAGATCCCAGGACATTCACAGCACATTAATATTTGAAAAGTACAGCCTCTAGCCTTCTTCTAAGACTTTTGTTCAAGAATTATTGGGCTATTAACTAGCCTCTCCCTTCTAATAAAACATACGTTGTTATATTTTTGGAACTATGTTGTATTTCCAAAATACAATTTGGAAAATACGTTGTTATATTTTCTTCTTAGTTTCATCAAAACTTGTCTTCTCCTAGATAAACACTCAACAGAAAGGCATACACATGTTCATCCAGCACTACTTGCAATAACCTATAGTGGAAACTCCTCCAATGCCATCTGGTTGATAGACTTAAAGAAATGAGCTTGGCTGAAATCCAGACACTCAGACTCATTACCCAGGACTTACCACAGCAAGATCAGTGTTTTCATCAGGAAGCAGAATGACCATGCTCAGTTCCTCTTCTGCATAGGGCAGTTCTAGGACTTGCATTTGCACCTCATCTACATACCCCATCTTAAATTTAGCTTCCTTGAACATCATCTGAACTGTTTTTTTCTCCTGGTAAAAAAATAAAATTAAATTACTGGAAAATGAGCACAATTTACTAAAAATAAGATATATCTATCTCATAAAACTCATAGACAAGCATAAGATAATTATTATTTCTGTGAATTTATGCTATCAGATATAAAATCCTCATTAGTATTTCTTAATATTGAGTAGAACGTGCTATGTTCTACTAGCAGTTTTACTAGGTGAGAGAGAAGACTTTGATAAGTGTAGAAGGACATACAACTCTATATTATTTTTGTAACATATTGTGTTTGCTCTTTGGAAAAGATTCATAGAGAAGTATTCCCATGGAGCTTATAATTGAAAATTATTTCCTCAAGCTAAGAGAAGTATTAACTAAAATCCAGTCCTTGGGCTGAAAAGTCTGGTTTGAAAAGATATATAGACCAAAGCAAATTATACTTTTTACTTTGACAAGTTGCCCAGTTATAGAAATAGAATTGGTTTTATGTCTTTGGTTTCCTTGGGGAGGGAACCAAGACAAGATTTAGAAGTCAGCCAGTTTTAAAACATGCATAAAATATATTGTAATTTTCATTGTACAAGGTACTATTATTGGATTGATGGAAGTCAAATTCCAAGTCAAAAACTATTGACCCTAGCCATTATCACATCTAAGAGGGAATGTAGGAAATTGTTTTAAAGTTAGCCTGGACATCTACTAACACTTTTTCTTTTGTTCAGAAATGTATAACCTTGAGTTCTAAGGCAATAAATAGGCATTGCTATCATTGACACAGCAAAAAGGCATCTGGGTAAATATAGACAGTGGTAGTATAAAATCAACATGATTCCAAGGTTTAGGAGAAAATTTTCTTCTACCAAAATCATATGATCAGAAAGGGCAGATGGCCTTGACCAAGGATAAAACAAAAGTATCAATACAAAAATTATTTTAGTTTCTCTCTTCTTACATCTAATTAGAGCTATAGAGGGGAAATTAAATTCACTCAGAAATAGATTAAAAATCAAGATAGTGTTAAAATAAATTATTCATTTTTCTTTCATTATCTTTCCCTATTTACTACTTTAAGAAAGTAGCAGTATATCAAAAATATTTTCCTACCTGGTTAGTTTTAAAGAGCATGCCCCTTGTGTACTTTCTGTCAAATTGCTCATTCCACTTTCCTTTGAAATACATAGCATTCACAAGGACCAGTTTAGTCTGTGGACCAATTGTCCCAGGACCAAGAACGTCTGAAATCTTACCTATAAAGAATATGAGAGGCATTTATGGAGATTTGGGAGAAATAAGCATTCTTTTACAATCCTGTTCACACAAAAAACCAAGACTTGGTTGAGAATCAGGCTGGAAGGCTGGATTCCTGTCTTTCACACACAGTGTAAGCTTCGTCCTTAAGTAACAACCTTTTTCTTTTTCTTTTTGTGAAGGGAGATGGGGGGCAGAGTCTCACTACCTAGCACGGGGTGTCCTCAAACTTGCGATCCTCCCTCAGCCTCCCAAGGGCTGAGATAACAGTTACAAACTACCATGGTCATCTTGAACAACAATCTTCAAACACCTATAGCAGCTGCAGTTCCTGCCCTCATTTTATATAGAGAGAACTTCAGGATCAAAGCATTTGCCTTACTTTTTGCCAAGTTCACATGGGTAGCAAGTGGCTGGACTCTCAACCCTGGCACTATAATAGCTCAAGAGCATTTTAGTTTGGATTAATTTTTAGTTAGGGGAGGTTGTCCTGGTACGTTGGAGGATGTTTAGTCAGCAGTACTTTCCTCAACTGAAACAATCAAAAATGTCTCCCTTCATTGTCAAATATCTCCAGGGGAGCAAAACCATCCCTAACTAAGAATCACTGCTTTGTGTCAATGTTTAAATCTCATTCTGATAAAGACAGACTTCCAAAGGATGGAGAATAGAGACCTATAAGTGGAAGAAAGCTACCTAAAGGAGTGAATGGAGATGGGTAATTAGAGGATGAAGTAGAAGGATCAAAGTTAAGTTGTCCAGTAAAAGAGGAAAATGTGATCCCAAGGTCCTCTTTAACTCTAATTAATATTCTGGGTAAACATGAGGTTGGTTAGTCTAAGAGAAGAAAGGGTTCAGGAAAGGCAAGTTGTGAAGAAACCTCTCAGGGACTTAGTACTGCTGAGTCAACTGAAGATCAAGAGTCTACTGGACAGATGTACATAAGCATGAGAGGCTCTTCTTCCCAGGCTAATCATTTTTTAGCTTTTATTGTAATTGTGGGCATGGCACACAGTGGGTATGTCATAAGGACTGAGTGGATGAAATACTGAGTGTTTGTTTGGCACATGAAAAAGTGAGTGACAATTCACCCTTTAGAAGTACCTAAACTCCTGTTAACTATTTAGGGTGCTTAAAAGCATCCTAAACATTTTTGGTTGCCACAATTGAGGAAAGTGCCAGTGGCTAAATATCCTACAATGTACCAGGACAGCCCCACCCACCTTCAGTCAAGAACTGGCAGAAGTATTTCTGGAAATATTTGTGTAGGTTGCACAGAGTAATACATTCTCCATGTTAGTGACACATCCAGAATCTGGAGCAAATCTGAAAACAGGTGTAGCCTGAGTCACATTAAAGAGGAAGAAGAGGACTACAGATCAAACTAGCAAACTGTTCTAGTTTCCACAGGGAAGGAACATCTCAACACAAACTGATGTCATATCTAAGCTGCAACCTAATGGAATGTCCTGCCTCAGAGCATGGCAGGAATTACCCCTCATCTACCCAATCCACACAGAAGATAAGCAGGGCCCCAAACAGGAAGCATTTGCCAGGGATTTCCCATCACAGATAAGGAAAGGGTGATCTGACCCTGACATTGTTTATTTTATTTTTTATTCATTTATTCATATGTGCACACATTGTTTGGGCCATTTCTCCCCTCTGCCCTCCCCCACCCGCCCCCTCTCTCTCCCATCTTACTGCCCCTTGCTTCCAGGCACAACCTATTCTTCCCTTTTCTCCAATTTTGTTGAAGAGAAGACATAGCAATAATAAGAAAGAAAAACCGTTTTTGCTAGTTGAGATAAGGATAGATATACTGAGAGATTCCTAGCATTGCTTCCATGCACAAGTGTATTACAACCTGAATTGATTCATCTCTACCTGACCTTTTCACTAGTTCCTGATCACCTTCCCATATGGACTTCTGCCGCTTTAAGGTTACTGTATTAGCTCCTCTGCAGTGGGGACATCAGATACTTTCAAGTTTTGGGTTTCCGACCTATCCCCATACAACATTGCTACATTTTCCATAGCTCTAAAGACCACATATGAAGGAGAACATAAGATTTTTGGTCTTCTGAGCCTGGGTAACCTCACTCAGAATGATGTTATCCAGTTCCATCTATTTACTTGAGAATGATAAGATTTCATTTTTCTTCATGGCTGCAATTGTGTATAAGTTTATAGTATTTTAATCACTACTTTATATCTGATAAGCCCAAAGGGGGAAAAAGAGTAGAATTGCACTGCTGGCCTGAAAACCTAGCAAACACACCAACAGGCCTCTGGCAATACCCTGGAGATCCTGACCCCGCCCAGCTCTCCTTCTGTCCTCATTCCAAGTCCACCCAAAATAGAACCTCTTACCTTCCGTTTTTTCTGTCACCCAGTTGTTGATGTGTTTTCTGCATGCTTCAGTGTCTTTAGCAAAAGACAACTCCTCCAGACTTGCTTGATAGAACTTCTGACAGGATTCCTTAAAGGTCTACAAACATGAACACTGGGTTTGGCCCTTGAAATTCAGTGAAGCTTCCCTCAACTGTGAAGATGATTTTTTCCTCTTAACATGTTTGTATCAAAAGTGTTCACATAGGTAATTCTTCACATTAACACACATTCATAAAATTATCAGAAATGTGTGGACCTCCTACTCTGTGCCCAGCTCCCTCACATCTGTAGGTACAGATATAGCAGCGTACATATATATGTTGTCGCCGCCCTTGAGACAAACAGCCCAGGAACATCCTTATCTAACACATCTGACTCTGTGGATTTCTCTGGTTCCCTCACTAAACAGCGTTACTCTCTTTTACTTATTTTTGTATTACCAGTACCAATCACAGTGTCTGAAATATTTGTTGAATGACAGAGAGGTTTCTTAGTAGAGCTAGATAATTAAGAACTCATAGATCTATAAGCAGACAGACAAAGAAATGGCATTTTAGGACTGGAATATAATGGTTAGTTGGAAAAAATGAAGTGCAAGTAAAGTCATTGGGAGTAGAATGTAACAGGTCTGGATCACAGTGTGTGCATGTGAGCCCATGTATGTAAACACGCATGGGCACATGTGTGCTATGTGTATGAATGTGTGTGTGCATACATGTATATTTGTGTAGCGTGCATGTGAGTGTGTCTGTATGTCAGGGAAGTTGTAAAGTAACTTAGGATCAAATCAAGAAAGGACTCTGCCTAACACAGGACCTAAGTAACTTATCCCACAAAAATCTGTTTTCAGGACTGGGAGAGTAGCTCAAGTGAGTGTCTGCCTGCCAAGTGCAAGGGCCTGAGTTCAAACCCCAGTAATGAAAAAAGAATCTGTCTTCAGATAAATAATATGCCTGGCAATTAGCTCCCATCCTCTGACCATTCTAACTTATCAAATATTTAAGAGCCACACAAGTGAGAAAGGTGCTGGTTCTTCTTGTCCCCAATATTCAAAGATCAGGCTGATGTCTAATAATGAGCATTGACTCAACAGGAGAATGCTGGGATCCAGAGTCATCTCCATGGTAGGTAAGCCCAGAGCAGACAACTTCTAGGGGATAGCACCCAACAGTAGCCAGAACAGGGATACAGCTGAGAACCCTTGGAACTCACAGGAAATAAGATGGCCAAGCTTGCTCCATTCATTTCACTAACCTTAAGATCGTATCATCTTCATATTAGGTGGTATAATTTTTTGACCTCACTTACTATGTTTATGGCAGTAAGTACCTTTGGAATTATACACTGAAGTATGAATAGTTTCATTTTAGAAAGACTCTATTCTGTTAGTGGTGTGTGTTTGTGAGACAAACATGAAGGCTGGACAGGACTCAGAAAGACAAAGTAAGGAGCAATTAATAATAATGTGGGAGACACAGCAAGTCTGAACCCAAGTAATGCCAGTGGTAATTCAGAAGGTAGAGTAAATTTAAGAGGCATTGAGAGGTTGTCTCAGCAGGAACCAGCCCAATAAGCAGAGGCTGGTTAGGGAGGAGTTGTACACCTTGGATAATGTCATTCAGGGATGGGGGGGATCAAGATGGAGAGGTTTAGGTGCAGGAAGATGAGTACACTGACACTGACTTCAGGAGAAATGTATCAAAAATGAATTTTTAAAAGCACATAATTCAGAAATAATCATAAAATTCAAAATTATAAATTCTGAAGTGTAATTTTAAGCGTATTTTATGTGCTTCATTCATTCTTTTGCTCATCTGTAGTTGTAATTTCTAGCCTATTTTCAACTTCATTTCATCAATGTGTCACAACTACTTACTGAAAGGAAATCACACGTTTCTTCTCCAAAGAGTCGGCTGGCGGTTCTAAGTAAGCACTGAGTGCCAGTTTTGTTGACTTCAGTGAGCAGCGACTGGAAACTTTGGTGAATATCTCCACCTCTGTCCAAGCAAAGTGCCTGGGAACAGAAGAGCACCTGACTTTAACATGACCACTATCCCACCCCCAGTGAGATATTTCCAAACAACCCTCTGGCTGAAAAGGCAGAAAGGCCTCTATTTTAAAAGGAGTTTGGTCTAATTGTCTTGAGATTTTCAACTTAGCACTGCTAACATTTTGGACCAAATGTTTTGCAGCATTTCTAGCCTCTACCACTAGATGTCAGGAGCACATCTCTGATGTGAGAACTAAAAGGCTCCAGCCCTTACCAAGGGTCTCCAGGTATACTCTAGGGACAAAATGCCCACCTAGGTGGGAACACCCAGATTTGTCCATACCAGAGAGGAAGCATGCAATAACTCAGGAGGAAGACAGAACACAGACACAGACACACACACACACACACACACACACAAAACAGCTGGGGTGAATCTAATATGAATGCAAAAAAGAACAGAAATAAAACTAAAAATGTTTCATCTGAGTCTCCAGATGAAAGTTCTCCGGACCAGAAGTTCATTCACACAGTTGCACATCTATCTAAAACATAATGTTAGCAAAAGTTCGAAATATAACAAGGTTTAATTTTTTTTCTTACCTCTGTCTGGGGAAGGAATATAGTTTACCTTATCTATCAAAGGTGTGATTTCACCACAGAATGTTTGATTATTTTATCTAGAGAAATAATTTTATAACTTGATGTCTCCCGTAAACATTAGAGATGATCCATCCTGCAGGATTTGCCTTTCTGCCCATGTTGGCATCACCACGGTGTCCCTCCTTCTGCCCTCTGGCTTTCACCAGCGGGCTGAAGGTAGAAGGAATCAAAAGAGAAACCCACCTTTGCACTTCTTTCCTGACAGATGTGCATACCTGTGACATCTGGGATGCTGTGTTTCCTTTTGCCCCCATGAAGACCATGGCCAGGGCAGAGGAGATGCTCAGGGGGCAGAAGAATACATTTTGTGACTTGTCTTCTTCACCCAATATTTTTAATAAGCGGATGGCAAAAGAGCCATTTGCTTCACAGAGATCATCCATCTGGGACGGTCTGAACCAAAAACACAGCACAGAAGCACATCAGTCAAGTCCCTCTGTAGTCCTATGGTCATCAGTGTCCCCGTTAGCAGACATTAGGTATGCTAGTTGAATAATTAGAGCCCCAAAGATATCCACTCCCTGCCCCTGAGTCCTGTGAATTCATTTTCTTATCTGGCCATAGGGACCTTGTAAATATAATTGAGTTACAGATTTTAGATGAGGTCATTGTCTACAGTGTCCAGGTCATTGTAATGCAATCACAAGCATTCTCACAAAAGAGAGGCAATAGGGTCAGAGTCAGGAGATACAAGGACAGAAGTAGAGGTCAGAGTGATGGGAGGTCACTGAACAGGGAACGTGGCTACCTGGAAAGGCCATGAAAATATATTACTTCCTGGAGCCTCCAGGAAGAAGACAAAAACAAAACTTTGCTATACCATTTTGAATTTATGACCTCCAGAACTATAGAATAAATTCATGTTGTTTGCAGTCACTAAATTTGTGGGAAAGTAGTACAGTACCCATAGGAAACCAAGACACTCTCCCCCCACCCAAAAATTGCCAAATACTGTCAGATGACTGGTACCACTCTTCAAACCAGGAGCTCATACACCCTCCAAGACTTACTTAATCCTTCCCTTAGAGTAACACCATCCACCATGACTCGTTGCCAGGCAATATTCTCATTTGATCCCAACAATAACGTGTCAAGGTCAGCAGCCATTACTTCACTTAGGGATGTGGAGACTGAGCTGTGTAAAAAAAGGTCTTCCCAGATCCCTCAAGAAGTCACTGATGGCTATGCCCACAGTTTGATTCCAGAGCCTGAATTCTTTACCATCACACTAGCTCCCCTATAGGACCCTATTGCTGCAAGCTTTCCTGGCATCTTTGACATTTTAAAGCCTGTTTTAAGAATCACAAATCCCTATAAATAAAAAACGCATTTCTGTCATCATGCTATGTCAAAATGGCTGGATAGAGCCCATGGAATGCGAAGGTGTGTTTGCTCTGACCTAAAACATGGGCTACTAGGAAGACAAAATATTTACTTTGAATCAGGATAATTCCAGAAAGATGCAACATTTTCCAGAACAGCTGCTGAAACGAGGTGGGAAGAGTTGCAAAGAGAGTCCACATAAAATATATAACATTTACTTCATATAAAATCTGAAGCCTATATCTGAAATCATAGGGTGAGCACTGAATTAGATGCACTGATTTTGGATCTGTTTTGAACAGGGCGGTGGTAATTTTCCCCTCAGTTTAACTAAATCTTAATCAAGCTAAAGTTGACTAAACAAACTGAACAGACTTTTATCTGCCTCTACAGACTTTTATCTGCCTGTAGGTCCTCACCTCCCTTTCCTTAAAGCTTTTACTTTAGAAAACAAGTAGTTGTTAATTTGTTCTGTGCCCCTTCATGATGTAAATCTCCAGCCTCTTGTCAGTTTTATAACCCCAAGGACCTCTGGGGCCATCCCTTTGAAATGTAGCCATCAAGGGAGCTAGAGCCCCTGTGAACCAATGATTGTGAGGTTAGCAAATTATTAGCAAATTATCATGTCTTCAATTAATTAGCTGTATTTTTCTTAAACCTTATAGAAACCTGGGATATTATTCCATAAAGCATTACAATTCATCAATTGATTTCATTTTCCCAGAGTTTCTTAGCTCTTGTATTTGAGGCATTTTGAAATAACAGGATGAAACACTGCTTATAATCCCATGACCCTACAAGGCATTTTTTTCATTATTTTATCCTTTTTTCATATGCATGTATATTTTGAACTCAAAAATTTTAAAGCCAAATAAGAAAACATATGTCCCAAGTTGAAAAATTAGTATTAAGCAGAGTTAGAAGTGCTGGAAACTCTACCTAGAGATAAGAATCATCATGCCTTTGTTCATTTCTATAAACAGCTGGATCATTTTATGATCCTCCTCCTTTCTGTTTCCCAGTGGTCTTCAAAGTGCCTCCCACAGCAGCTCTGAAACAGTGTTTCATTAGGGCAGGTTTTGGGAGTGGATGAGATTAGGGCATGGAGAATTATGATGTCAACCAGAGCATTTCCACTACTGAAGATTTTGTTTAAAGCTTCCTTCCAAGAGATTTTGAGAGAGGATCTGTGTATTTCTTAAAGTTTGGTTATAGCTCAAAAAGTGCAAAATCAACAGCTCAAAAATATAAATTCTTTATAAGTTTCAGATTAATGTATCAAAATATACACCAAGAAAATATAATGGTGACATATTTTGCAGATCAGTACACTAGAATTAATAGGTTATTTTACTACAGAAAGCAATGGAAAGTTCCATATTATCCTCACATTATAAAATCTCTCCAGAAATGGTGCTAAAGATGGCAGATATTGGAAGGAGTTGCTTTCTGCTGTGGGAAAGTCTCTAGCAGAGCAGGGTCCAGCCTGCCTCTGGTCCCACACATCCTTCCTTTCCATTTCAGGCAGAAAGCAAAATTCAAGCTTCATAAAATTGGGCCCATCAGCAGGTGGCATCAAAGAAACATAAAGAAGGAAAAAAGTAGGTACACTGAGAATGACAGAAACACAAATAAATTTAGATTTGATCCTTCCATGGATGAGAACTTTGGATTCAAAGTGAGCAAGTCAAGAACTTATGTTGATCTGTGTGTGTGTGTGTGTGTGTGTGTGTGTGTGTGTGTGTGTGTGTGAGATCATCTTGCCTGGACAGGCATGGGAAAAGAAGTAAACTATTGCACCAATCTCAACTTTACATGCTAATTGCTCTAAACTGAAACTCTTACTTCTCTTTTTTTCCATCCTAACTCTTCCTTAACCTCACTTCCTCACCTTTCCTCTTGAACACCCAGATCAGTAGCACAGTATTTTCCACCAAGGGCACTTCCAGTGCTGCTCCTAATCACCCCAACAGTTAGGAAGGGACAGGAACCAGGTGACAGAATGACTCTTTCCACATTTTCCTGGGGCTCATTTGTCTATTAAAGCTTTTTGAGAGGGTTGGAACTTTAATGAAGCTTGCCCAATAAAATGGAATTAGTTTTAATATAACACAAAATAATACCTTTAAGCACCAGTCACAATTAGACTGTCGCAAAAACAGTTCTGATTTTCTAGCTGGTAAAATGAATTTGCATTAAACGAATTTTCCTTTTACACGTGAACAAATAAGGACAAGGACAGTTAAATACTGTCCTCAGGACTCTTAGAAAAAATGACTGCCTCAAAAGCAAGCTTTCTGCTCCTAGATGTGTGATATTAGGCTCTTCCTGGGAGCCTTGAACACCTGAGAACTTTACACTCTCTCCCTATACACACATCCAAAATCCAGTGTATTAAAAAAGCATTTGTGTAGCACTCTTCTTATATATTTGGGGAGAAGAAAATAAAAAATAAATGCCGTAGAGCTGGGCTTGTAGCTCAAGTGGTAGACTGCCTGCTTCGCAAGTATGAGGCCCTGAGTTCAAACCTCAGTACTACCAAAAAAAAAGATATTTACTGTTTAAAAAATAAATGCCATAATTTCTAACCAGGAGCTTGCACACTTAGGGGAGACATGCACACTGATATTCATGTGCAGATAATCTATAGCATGCTAAGGAACCCTACAAAAAAGTAAAACAAATTCCCAATAGAAACTTGGGAAGAGTTCTGAAGAAGCTGGCTCCAAAAAGTTGGGCAGGTATTCTGAAGGTGGGGGACGGGGGAATTTTAGGCTGAGAGACTGGCAGGTGCCAAGAATGTGGAAGAAAGGGTATGTTGTGTGAGGGCCAGGGGCTGGTGTGGGTTCCTGTAAGATATGGAAGTGAGACAAGTGGGCCTCTTGGGCCAGGTTTAGGAGTCTGAACTTGAGCCAAGGTTGGAAAGCCAGATCCCATTTTTTGAACAAATGCCTTACGTGAGTATGAGGTTGTTGTCTGAGTGAGGTGGCTCACTAGTTGGTGTGGAAGGGGCTGGAGAACCTGGTGGTAGGGCATCACCATGGAGCTGTGATTGTGGATGCGGAGGAAACACCTGAGCTGCCAAAGTGGAAGACAGAATTGACAGGCAAAATGCTTGCAAAGGGAAGGAGTAGGAAAGGTCGAGTATCCTCCTGCCACTCCCAGCTAAGTTCATAATTAGGGCCACGAACCATAGGACGTTTATATGAGGAGCCAGCTTGGAATGGGGAAGATGATGCATTCCATCTGCGATGTGTGGAGCATACCCTTGCAACTTAGCCTGTAAAAGAGACAGCCAAGGGGCGTCTGGAAATACAGTAGGGTGTAAGATAAGCTGACGTTCTACAGCAAGAGGTGGGAGCCATCAGCATCCTGATTCCAGGAGATTCCATGTGAACGGATGAGATCAGTAGGAATAAATGGGTAGTGGAGGCACAAGAGGAGAAATCCACCCAGTTCCAGGGAAATCTCAATATATTGAGGTAGTAGAAGGAAGAAAAAAAGGTACTGCAACCCAGCAATCGGGGAGAACTGCTTGTAGAGAAGACAGCACGGGAAGCTAAAGGGCCGGAAAGCCAAGGTCGCGGGGGCGCCCTCAGCCCTGCAGTCCAGCAGGGGCCAGAGGGACTAGGCCTATGTGGGAAATGAGGAACTAATTAAAGTAACTAAAGGAACTGCTGTGTCTACAAGTTGAGGGGAATCAATGAAAAAGAAAAGATGACAGGAAGGAAGGGAAGGGAAGCAGGGAGGGAGGAAGAAAAAGGAGCGAGGAAAGACCGGGAGAGTAAAGGAAGGTGGAGAGAAGGGAGATGGGAGGGATGCTGTATGGCGGAGGGAACAGGCCTTTGTACAGCACGTAGCATGGCCTGGCCCCAGCTCCGCCCTGGAACTTGCTGCCCAGGGCTCCACAGAAATCGCAGGAAAGTCACAAGTCGCGCCCAGTCTTCCTGTGCCCAGGCTCCCACTGTACCCCCAAACTTTCCACCAACCCACCTTGAGCAAGGAAACCACCCCTCCCCTCTGCGGGGAGAGACTGCGCAGCCGCGAGGGTAGGAGGCCGGGGCGCAGCCCTCCCCTCCCGCCCCCCGGAGGGTCTGCGCCGCCCTCGCGGCCCGGGACCTGCGCCGAGGATCCGCGTGCGCTCTTGCGCCCGCCCTCCACCCCGCGCGCCTGGTCCCGGGTGAGCCCAGCTGCCCCTCAGCCCTCCTTCCCGGCCACCTCCCGCCTCGTTCTTCTTGCCTCCTCCCTTTCCTCCGTCTGGGCCCTGCTCCTGGGCCTCCCTCCCCTCCCTCTCCCGCGCTCCACCGCGCAGGACCGCAGGGGCTCTGCATGGGAACCTGAGCACTCCAAGTGCCTCTCCAGCCGCGTACCTGGGAGATTCCCACCCGGGCGGCGGCGGCGGCGGCTGCGCTTCTGCTATTCCCGCTCCGTGGAAGCTTCACGTCCGCCTAGATCCAGGGCGAGGCTTCCGGCAGATGACTCAGAGCAGTCCGATTGCACGGGACAGTGCAGTCCTCCACGCAGACACCCAGATCTGGACCTGGGAGGAGCCCGAGCCTTGCAGCGCCGCCTCCTGCCCTGACTGAGGCCCGTGACCTGCAGAGGGGTATTTCAGTGCCTAGTCCTCTGAGGGTGGTGGTGGGCGGCTTCGCCCAAAAGGGATGGCTTGTTTTCCCGGGTCAGCACTTGGATTGTTAGTGTTTGGTGTGGGTATGGGAGAACACCCTCAAAGACTCTTTGGAAAAAAAAAAAAATGTTCGTTTGTTTTTTTTTTTCAGCACTGGAGCTTGAACTCAGGGCCTTCACCTTGAGCCACTCCACAAGCCCTATTTCTGTGAAGAGTTTTTCCAGATAGGGTCTCCGCGAACTATGTGTTCGGACTGGCTTGGAACCTTGATCCCCCTGATCTCTGCCTCCCTGAGTAGCTAGGATTACAGGAGTGAGCCGCCATCACCCAGCTCTTGGTCAGTTTTGCTTCATTTTAAGTTTCCCAAAGTTTTCCATGGGCATTTTGACTGGGTGGGATGTCCTATGCATCATTTGGGAAAATTCCTTCCTTCCCCAGGTTTTGTTTACCATCCAGAAACATTGCCTTTGTGCTGTACTGCAGTGTTATATTCCTGAGTAACTTTGCAGGTGTTTTTCACTTCACATTTCACTTTGCATTGTATTTTTCTAATTGGTTATTGCTCTTACATAAGAATATTTTTTAAAATTATGTTTGTGTAAGTCTACCTCACTGAATGTTCTTGATTTTCAATAACTTTTGGGTTTAGTTCTGTTTGTGCTGAAAGTATATCATCGACAAATAGTTTTATTTCTTTCTGGAAAAAACAAGTTGCAACTTCTAAAATTAACTAAAAGCAAGGAGATGTTGCTCAAGTCAGGATTCCAAACAGTTTTGACCCCTCATCAACTCAGAGTTCCAGATGATTCTTCGTGAATTTAAATGTGATAATAGATAAGTACTAATCTAGCTTGAAGGCTGTCAAAAAAACCAGAAATTGAAAAGAATGAGGGAGAAAAGCCTTTTTTTTAAGAAATACACATGCTTCTACCACAAAAATTATTTAAAGATTTAAGTTGAGCAATGGAAGTGAAATATGTATGTGCTTGTTACCTCAGTTTGGTGCTTTGAAATTCAGTACTCCTGAGATCTGGTTTTAAGTTTGGCTTATTTCTAAATTTGGACTGATCATGGAGCACAAGCTTCTCAAGGGAATGAGTTGATTAAAATGCAATAAAGGCAGGATGGGTTGTCCTTACTAAACCCTGACTCTTGGTTTTTCACTTTCCAAAACTGAAGGTTATGGGTTAAACTCCAAGTTAAAATCTATCTTTTTGAATCCTACTTGTTTTTGCAAACCAATGTTCTTAAATTTTGTACTTTAAGCAATATGTAACAGCCTGAAGCCCACCAAACTGTTTTTAGGAAAAGCTAGACATTTGCCTTTCAAGTTCCTAAGTGTCCACTATGAAAGTTCTAACATCTTTTTAGCAATAAAATCATATACTCATGGGGAAAGATCTGAGCAGTTGTTTTGAAAGGATCACTTCAGACTCTCAAAAAGCATTTAAATTCTTATTCATGGATGTGATGTACCTTTACCTGCAAGTCAATCAATTCAGTTATTTTCAAGAGTATTTGGTAGGTATTCTGCATCATCACAGAAAAGGTCAACACGTTTGGGACAGTAGCCTTTTAAAAAAGAAAAAATACATTCAAGTATGTAATTAACTCCCTTTAAAAAACAGTCTTGCATGCTTCCTTGTTTTTCAAGATACTGATGGCTGCTGTACTACTTATTACGAAGCATTATAAAGGTTCTGCAATTTAAAGTTCCTGGTTGTTGCTTTTAACATCCAGTGATACCATATAGCACAATACTTGGCTGAGAGCGAACCTGTGAGGCTGCTTCTCTCTACCCTGTTCATAATGAAAAAGTGCTTCTCCGTGCCTATGTAGAGGTTCACATTGTCAAACTACAGTTCAAAATCGAGTACCCCTGATTGCAAAGTCTGCATGGCTCTCCTTCCAGAGAAGAACTGGAAAGGTTAAGTAGCAATTAGACACATAACTTTTTACAGTGAAACGGGACAATTTTCAAGATCATTCTTTGCCTTTAAGGCTCATATTGGACCCATAGTTTTCAGAGGGTCCTAGACTATCCTAAAGGAATCTTAGCTCTCACATGTCTTTGAACACGAATAAAGAGCTCACAGGAACTAGTTATCATGGTCTCAAAGCAGGTAGCAGTGAAGTGAAGCCCTTATTCTGAAACACACGCACCTCTAAACTTTCCTCTTTCCTCTTCAATGGAGGCAGAGTCAGCTTTCCCTTCTGTTTTGGGTGAAAAATAGACCTCCTCCCCCCCAGGACATAGCTCTATTAGTCACTTTCACTCCTGTATTGTTACTTTTCTCACTATTTTGGCATCTTCTTATCTCACATATTCTCAGTATTTCCCATATTAAAACAATTCACCACACTTTCTTTGCTTTCTGTGCCTTGGACTACCACACTCCTTTTTCATCCTTCTATTCAGTCAAGTTTCTAAAAAGGAAAAACTATGCATTGACTGTCATCTTTTTCTCACATTTGGTTCACTCTTCCCTGACCTCCACCCAACCTCCTCTAAAAGTGCTCCTGCTAAGGTCACTAAGCACCTGCTAATTGCCATGGCCAGGTCTTATTTCATTCTATTTACTGGCAACCTTTCACTTTTTGTCCTTCCCAGAATCCTAAACACCTTTCTTTCCAGGTTTCTTTGTTTCATTTCCCTATTCCTTCTCTTTCTTTCTAAGCCCTCTTTTGTTTGTATGACAATATGTTCTTATATGACTACAGCTATACCTGTAAGTTCATGTTTCAAGTTTTTGCTGATTTCTTCCAAATCTCTGGCCTGTCTCTTGAGCACTAGACATTTCATATAACTAAATACCAAAAATCCCATCATTTATATCATCTTTGTGTTTCTCCCAGCCATACTCTTTCTCACCCCTTCTCAACTGCGTGCCATACTTGAAAAAATAAAACTGCAGAGACAATAAAAAGATTAGTAAGCCATCATGATGGAAGCCTATACTACCAGCACTTTGGAAGCTGAGGCAGAAGGATCTTTAGTTCAAGGCCAGCCTGTAGTAAGTATTGAGACCCTGTGTCATTTAAAAAAAAAAAACAGTAACTGTTGGGTGTTGGGAATGAGCAGAACTGGTGGAACACAGAGGATTAATGGGCCACTCTGACTGCCACTATACTGCTTGATCCATATGACTACACATTTGTCCACAGCCACAGGACATACACCAAGAGTGAGCTTTAATGTCAACTATGATCTTTGAGTGATGTGTCCAAAAATTCACTAGACCTCCATCTCACGTGCTGACATGTGCCTGTGATCCCAGCTATAGTGGAAGAGAAGACTAGTAGAATCACAGTCCAGGTGGCTGAGGCAAAAACGAAGATCTTATCTCAAAAATAACCAGAGCTTTAGGGGGGGAGGCATGGCTCAAGTGATAGAGCACCTGCCTACCAGCATGAAGCTCTGAGTTCAAACCCTACTACCTCCAAAATTTTTGCTTAACTCTTTATGCCTCCACATTCTTTTATGGAAAACAAGGAAGCAGCAATAGCTACACCTCACAGTGTAACTGGGAGTAATATATGAATTACCACTAAACCCGTTTGAGGTAACTTGATCGAATTCTCAGTATACTTCAGGTACTGTGCTAATTGATCTGTGTACATCATGCCTTTACTTAGTCTTCCCATAATTCATGCTTTGCAATTTGTCTATCTCTTCTTGTTTATCCATTATTTAGATTTTTTTCTCTCAATCAAATAAAATGGTCTAAAAGCAAAATGTCTACTAACATATTGATGACTTGCACCACCCCTCCATCACCCATCAAACTTGTAATCACAATCAACAGTTTTATGCTATTTTAAGTTACCACTGTATGAGACTTGGGTACACTAAGTGAGCATCTAATTACATACTGCTTTATATTGTGTTCCTGGAACACAAAATTAATGAGAATAATTTATGCATTTCTCACCATTTTATCTTATATCCTAAGATTTGAAATAAATGTGAAATATTCATGTTTTTCTTAATTCTCCTCCCAAAACGTAAAAAAAAGAAAATCAGGCAACCCTTGGTGTTTGCTGCATATTTGAGGAACTAACCTAAGACTGATGAAAATAAGTAAAAAAGTACAGTCACATTAACATGTATAAGATTTACAAATATATGGCATTTACTTGATCACTTTTCATTTATATCATTCGTTCTGAAACAATTAGAGTTTAAAATAAGTTTGAAAAATAATAAAATAATCAAATAAAACAATAATATTGATATCCATAACATGTAAATAATTCTTACAAAACAACAAGAAAAAAGCACAGAGTCTTGTAGAAAACATGTGCAGGGTACAGGTATAGGAAATTCATGGAAAATATGTAAATAATTGATAAACACAAGGAAAGCTGTTCAACCACATAGTAATGAAAAATCAGAAAGGGTAACATAAGCAGCGATGCTGATGGTGAGCTGGATGAACAATTGTAGAAATACCTCTGTGGGACATAAAAGACTACATCATTGTGAAAAGCAAATTGACAATGGCTAATACAGCCTAAATCTTCATGCCCTTCCTCCCTTCAAAATCCATCTTAGAGAGTAACATACACCCATATGCACAGAACCATACAAGGAACATTACTGTTTATAATGGCATAGATTAGGTACAACCCTAAAAGCCCACCAAAGGGAGAATATTATACAAGGGTAAAAAAGAGTGATGTTAGATAGACATTTACTGAGATACATGGAATTGGAGATATATTGTGAATTGAAAAGAAATGTTACACAAATTAGTATGATATAATGTATATACAATACCATTATATATGTATGACACACATATATGCATGTGTGTATAT